AGCTTATACACTGTTTAATGAGGACATGTTACTGATTACAGCTTTAAAGGAACATTTTTAATAGAGGAGAATTATACGAGCACAACCAGTGGATTCTCCCACTCTTATGATTCCCAGTTGAACTCCTACAAAATTTAGGAGTCGCTAGTTTTTAAACCTGTTGTAATAATCCTGTCAGGATCGGGGGGCGTAGTCTTTGTTGCTTTCAGGGAGAAAGAAGAGACTCAGTGGATTCTGTCGTTATTATGAAACAACACAGCGAGGAGTTTTAAAGCTTTCTGCTCTTCCTCTGAAGACTTCACTCTGTTTTAAATATCCTTCTTTTTTCTTTCCCCAACACCTCCAAACACCCACCACTCCTCCATCCATCCATCCATCCTTTCTACCTTTAGCTCCTCTGAGGACGAAGCCGAATCCCTCGCTCTCTCTCTTCTGCAGCACGGCCGTCTTCTCCTCAATCACATAGTCGCTGCAGCAGAGAAAACACAAGCGTACGTTTATCACATTTATCAGAGTGAAGAGAATCATAGAGTTGGTGCTGAGACTGTAACATGGCCTCAGAAATACACACTACTTTTTTTTTTTACTTTTTTAACTACTATATATACTGTTGGGTGGTTTAATCTACAGCAATGCATCATAATCTATAAAATCATATGCCTGTTTTCAGCTTTCTGACACTAATTCAAGGGTTTTTAAATAGTTTAGTTAACAGTTCATCCTTCAGTCCACTGGTTCCCAACCTTTTTCCTTTCCCTGTCATTTATTAAACTGACTCAGTAACTGCAGGAAGTTTATGTAAAACCAGAGATTTGGACGAATTTTGAGCAGATTATTTCCTGTTTAGGGAACTTTTTATACTATTCTCTGTCTGTATTATGTATTTTTTATAATATTTAACAATCATACAGACATATTAGGCTTCTTTTCTGACAAATTCAGTGTTTTCTTCTTAGACAATATACTTATATTTACTATTCTTCACAGAAATTAACCAAATACTGAGCTATAGGCCTACTTTGTTACAATAGACCTTTTTCACAGCAGCCATTTTGTAGTAGGGTAAAAAGGCTCTGTTCCATTTAGTGTATCAGAGCATTTCCGGTGAGCCACAACAGCAGCACCATGACTCTGTTTGAACAGGACATTAATTAGTATTATTGGAAACACCTGTGTTTACCCTACTGTTTCACGTCAAAATGGCCGCTGTAAAAAAGGTCCATTGGCGACTCTAAATTACACCTAGGTGTGAATATGAGAGTGATGTGATAAACTGACGACCTGAACTCTCCAAAAGGATCAGCAGTAATGGATTAAATAATAATATTATATTGCATTTTTAAATTATATTCATGTTAATTAAACATGTTTCTACTGTAAATTTAATCTTTTACCCTTATTTGTTGTCGTTTTACCAGATACTTTCCTAAAAATGTCTTCCTGCTTTAATGCTGATATATAATGAATAACATCCTCATTAAGAGGACATTTTTTTTTACTTTTTAAACCTCTTTAGATACTAATTACAATGTTTAAATCAGACATTTTAATGTGTCTGTATGCACCTTGATTTGACGATGTGAAGGTATTTTATATGTTTGTATTTTGATATTTAAGCCAATAACTAACTAAAAAAAACTTTATGCCTTTGGACTCTTTAACCACAAAGCAACAACCGCTCACTGTACCTCAGTCTATACACTAATTATATACTCTAAATCATGATAACCCCAACCCTTTCCCCACTTATCACCATTAAATGTCACCATGTTTTTATTCTGGTTGTGTGCAGGTTATGGAGAGGGATACACTGAGATTGTATTGAAAGGAAAGTTGGAGGACAAGAAGTTTTTGGCATTTTACATCAAGTACGTTGAGAAAAAACATCTGCAAACATCGGAAAAATGTAACTCCTTTAATGAATATATGTCAAAATATGTATGTTTTAATGTTTTTTGTTTTTTTTTATGTGAAGGGATAATGAGGTCATAGCGGCAGCGGGCCTAAACTACGACCCAGGAGTGTCTGCAGTCGCTGAGAGGCTCCTAACAGGAAAAGTTATCACGAAGGAAGAGGCTGAGTATGTAAAGTCTGAATGATGGATGACTGGATATGTTCACAGAGATGTAGCAAGTTTTATTTACAGTTAACAAATAAAAGGGGAACAAAGTAAGTGAAAGCTTTTGTTATATGGGACAGAAATTCAACTTATTTCCCCTTCAGAGCTGCAATATACCGTATATATTAACATTTTTAAACCATTACTCAAGTTGCGACTGTATTTCCCATACAGGTTGCTGGAAATGATACATGCCCTTGTCATTTAAAAAGTAAAATATTGAAATATAAAATATTAGAAAGTAGCATAGGCCAACATATGTACCAATATAACTGATTAAATCACGATGAGTTACAGTATGTTGTACAGATTAAGCAAGGAGGTCATTTTTAGTTACCATCTTTGTATTAAGGACATAGGCACAAGTTGGGAAATGGGGTAAATATAATTTTTATTGTGCACAAGACAGAATATATTTACATCTAGACTGTTAGAGGATTCTGTAAATATCTTCTTAACAGCGATAAAGTGCTGTTAAAGCGGCTGTTATACATATTTTCACATATATGAAACATGATACATATTTAAAAGAGTTAGTGGAGACCAAAAACAGAGGTTTAAGAGAGTGAATACTGGATGTGAATTCATCAGTTGGCCAGAAACACAACTCCAAATCAATGATAATGTTTCTCTGTAACTGCAGGATGTGCATAAGTAAGCGTTTAATAGGTTTAAAAGGTAATTATATTCACAACTTGTTTCCACTTCCACCAAGTGGCCAAAAAAATCAGCTCTAAGTAACCTGTGTGTTTGAAACACTCTCACGTAAACTATTTTATAATAAAATGTTCATTTCTGTCACTTGAATGTAATAACAATACATCATTACGATCAAAATGAAGGTAACAAGAGCATCAAATGAAATGAAATCTATATAAAAGCATGTCCTCTCTTTTTCCTTTGCCTGACAGATCAGATGACCTGAGCTGGCTGCAGTTGTCCTGATCTACACTTTCCTCCACTCATCCGCTCAACACATCATCTGTACAGTGTCGTCATGCAGTCACTCATCTGTCTCTCCTACGCTCTCACCAAGGACAAAGAGTTTAGAGACCTGTGTTAAAATGTTTGATCCAGAGGAGAACAACTTCACTGATGGCATGGTGTCAAAAAGCAGAATCTACAGTGTTTAAGTTTCATATTTACAGTGTCATACAGTCATACAGTCATGTGAGGGGGACTCCAGCATGCAAACAACAGATACCTCAGATGGATGCAGCTTTTAGGACTTCTTTTTTAGTCTTAACATTTTTTATTATTTCATTAGATTATTATTTTTTAATTTTATGGCTTTATGTCTCCAAAAGGTATTTCAGTAACAGTCCAGAGACATTTAAGATGCCTCAGTATGTTCTCTGCTGTTAATACCTGAAAGGCAGTGATGCTTTTTACTTGGTTAGAGCTGCTGGAAAAAAACACAAGTGACCTTAAATGTACAATATGGGGTCTCTCACATCAAAACAATAACAAAAGAAGAAGATCGATGGCGTTGTGAAGTCGCTTGGGATCATGGGAGTTGTTGTCTTCACCACCATTGCTGTCATTGCAGTCAGCTGCTCAAAGGTTTTTACCGGAGGCCGAATTATCCACAGAGGTCTCTTCCTCTCCAAAACAAACACAGCTGGTGATTAAAACCGGTAAAAACACTGAATAAAGCCGTTTTTACTTTAAACATCTGTGTTTCTTTAACATCGTTCGGCAGACAAAAGGACGTCGAGCTGCTGCTAAC